CCACACAAAAAAACAAGCAGCAAAAAGAGGGTAAATACCTGTCAAGCTTTTGAGTATTGGTGGTAAGTTAAAGAAGCAGAGGGGCTGCTTACCTTTCCTTCTGGTCAGGTGAGTCAAATAGTTCATAATGCTAACTAAAGGTTAGTATATTGTTCATTTATAAAAAAAAAAAAAAGAAAAAAGAAAGACACTTGAGGATGAAGACGATGCATTTTACTAACTTCTGTTCTGTTTTTAAAAATAAAAAATAACTAGAAAAGACAGGCCTCTACCAAGTAGCAAATATTGCACCATATAGTGACTTACACCTATAGCTAAAACATGATCTGGATTATTACCAAAATTTTAATAGAATTCTTCCTTGGCATGGGGTGCACCTTTGGTAACAATTTCCTTAAAATCCTTTCATAAGTGTATAAATGATGCACAGTATGTGTCTGCAGCCTGTGGTGTTTGTTCTGCTCTCACCTTTTTCATGTACACTGCTTTTTTGTTTTATCAGCAGACTGAGACTTTAAGCGATGCATGGCTCACCTTTCCTGTTTTTTGGTCTTCAGTATAACACTTCTGGACCTTTTTGAGTCTGACACTGAAGCAGTCAATAGTCACTGACTCCACTGTCTGGTTTAGGAGGGGGAACTAAATGTATTAAATTCAAGTTCAATGATATATTTTTGTGTCCACTGTGAAAGAATGTCTTTCAAAATAGGTTAGCACCTACTACTACAGCATGGATATCACACACAACAGTTGTTTGATATCCAAGCAGAATATGAGGCTGTTAATCTGGACATTTTTGGATTTAGACAAAGGAGAACATCGCCGCTACTCAGTGGTGCACGCTCTACTTCTTTTTCTTTTTTTCATTTTCTTCTCTTAGAGTTACGGGTGTAAATCACACCCATCATGGCGATTCGATTCAGTATCGACTACCTGACCCAACGATTCGATTATTTTCGATACTCAAGAATATACCCCGAAATACTTCCACACAAATGACTTAAACCCGCAAGGGGTGTGTAAGTCAGCTTTTTCCTCCGCCATGTCTGTCTTGCCTATAGTTTATGCAGGTGTGTGTGCAAGAAAGATGGTAGTGGAAGTGAGGTACGAGGGCAATAGGTTAGCGCCACCAAAGCACATGAGTCAGAAATTACGTACAGGAGCAAATGGATAAAAATAGACCGGAGGAAAAAAAAGAAAAGAATCCATACTCTCGCGGACGTGTCGATGCATAGGATCGTCGGCTGTTGGATCGATGCATCGATACAAAACTATTATTTACACCCCTACTTAGAGTACAGTTTAGTTTTTGTCTAGCAAACAAGTGGTTATCATATTTAATGTCTTTAACCTTTCAAATATTCCAAGTATGGATAATTGGCTAAAACACAAATCTATCGTTGTATAAACAGATGAACCAGCTTCTGAAAACCCCAACACAAATCAAAAGCGATGCCTAACCAGTGATGTCAGGATTGACAGAGACACCGCCAATCCTCCAACAGGCGTCAATATCACTAAGCAGCAGAAAGATCCGTTTCAGCCTAACTGGCTCAAGCTACATCCCCGGTGAAAGGAGCTACTCCATCTGCAAAATGGATGGTCCCATACCCTTTACCAGCCAGAGCTGTAAGATTTCAACTTTAAGCCACCACTCTGATGGTGTTTTTCCCACTGCAGCAGTGAAAAGGGAATGTGAGGCAGATTCAGCTAAAAATGTTATGGCCAAACGCTATCCACGATGTGCAAGTGCAGCAAGAAGATGAAATAAAGGGGCTTCTTAACACTGCTTACTTTGTTGCTGAAAATGAAATGGCCAAAGATAAATTTTGCACATATATGCATTGATCTGAGGTAAGAATGTATTAGGCTGCATAGATAACTTTACTTTTTTTTTTCCCCTGGAAGGTTTTGCATCCTGAAAAAAAATTTTTTTTTCCTTTAACCCCACAGTTAAGTGAGGGAAAAAAAGGAGATCAAGCAAGGAAAAGGACAAGAGAGAGCAGCTGACACAAAAGCTAGGAAGACAAAAGGAGAAAAATGAAAGCGAAATTTTAATCTGAGGTTTGATTAGCACAACATAAGAACTGTAGTCATTAAGTAATAATCCCCCCCACTCTCAAGCATATAAGGTGGGGTTTTCCCCCCCAATTTCAAAAGTGAATTTCAGACACTGTTATGGGAATTGTAATTGTCATTCAGCATTGCTTTATGTGGCTATTAAGACCCTGCCATGTTCTGTAACCATCTTCAAAAAGTCACCTGTGATATCATATGTCCTTCTGTTTGTCAATGGAAGCCACATTAATTTGTTTACATCTAGAGCCTGGCCTCCTGGCACAGTTAGAGAAACAAATACGCAAACTAGTCAAAAAATGGCAGTAGTCAGGAAATTCTGTATTTTCAGACTAACATCACATTATGTTGCCTGACTTTGAAAAATAAATCAAAAGAGATCAATGCAGTTGCGACCCCATGACCTTGAACATTTTCTAATAGTATCCGTACCTATCGAGCTAATAAAGAGGTAAAACGATAACCAGGTGAAAAATAAATAGACAGACAGAACTGCTAGTCTTTTTTTTCCATCAGTTATCTAGGAACTTCATAAAATCCCACAATTTAACATGTTGATTGCATGGAAATAGTCTCTATACTGTCTTGTGTGCTTTTCTGGGGCTTGATCACAGCACGGTCGTCATTTTGCTGGGTTCCCCCCCCCCAAATATCACATACATTAAACCTGACCTGTAAAAAATTGCATCCTCCAAGATAATATAAACAGTGCTTTTCAGAAAAGAAAGAGGAAACAAAAAATATTGCTCACGTTTTATTCTAAAGACCTTATAGAGGATGTTAAAAAAAGGGAAAAATTACACAACTAGCTGCCCCTATTAAACCTTTATTGCATTGGCTTTTTTACTTTTCTTTCAGCTTTCCATGATTTGGTTTGCAGGGACAATTTAAACCTGCAATAGTACTGCAATGCAATACCTTTGTGATGGTAACTTCAAAAGGTCTTAAATTTTGTACTGATCATATGTGCAATCATTACTAGTTCTTGGAGTCTACACGCAGTTTATTTGCTAGTTTGGTAAAGGGGTCCTAAAAGCCACAACCTTAGAGACATCTGCAAACATCAGCGGTTTTCCAGCTGCTGCCATCAGTTCATCTATCACACCTTCATGAGATTATTTACACTGTTTAATGATACCAAGATACAGAATGCACTTCATGAGTTTCTGTTTGTAAATATAAACAATCAAACTCTTCTGATAATAGCCTAAAAGCCCCCAATTAGCCATGGTGCAGGGGTGAGCAGCACTGAATTCTCTGCTGAGCTTGGAAGGAACAGAGTGACATACCCTCTCTTTTAATGGTAGTTTTTCATCTCTGTACACTGTAAGTCAGTGGTTCACAAATTTCATCTATCTTTTTTATATTCAGTAACCTAATAGTTTCCTCTTTTGTTTTATCTTATAAATACCTCTAGTTTAATGTGTAAGAAAAAATTTGTTTATTCAGTCAGTATTTAATACAGCTGGCACAATAAAATTGTTCAAATATAACGATGCACAATTTTTTTGTAAGTGTATTGCAAGAAAAAAAATTAGCCCTTCTTTCATGTTATGAAAAATCATCTTAATACAAGAGAAAACTAAAGTCTTTAAGGAAAGGGCTGCTTATCAATTAATCATTAGTTGATCAATAAGATTTATCAACTTTTGATTAACTAATGTATATTTTGCTTCTTTATTTCCTACCATTTTTTAGTTAAAGGTATAGTGGAGGATTTATTCGAAGTTTTGAAAAGACCCGCACATGCACAACCCTGTACCCGCTACCGAGAACTATTAAACGCGTGCGAGAGCATGCACAAGCCCATTTCTCCTCGTGCACACTCTGTTTAAAAGTTGCAGTTTGCGTTGCTTATACAAGCTTACCTTCCAAAAGAAGATTTGCAATTTTTCCACGATGTCAGACTCACCACCCGTAAGTGAAAATGGGAACAAGCACATAGGATGGCCTTACGTAAACATATCACCAGAATGATTGACTGTTAGGAGGACCACTTATTTTGATGATCCGCCCAGAAAAAAAAAAAACAACATCCTCCACTATACCTTTAAGAAAATCCAATTGTGTGATTAAGGATTTCATCCAAAAATATAAATACTTTTTAAAAGCATCTTCGTTTACAAGGGTAAAGTAAAACCAAAGCAACTACAAAAATATAATTATACCAAAAAATGTGCACACAGCAAAATAAAGGGAACTAATTTGCACTCTAAAACATTACAAGCAGCGTGTAAAAATCACAAAAATTGTCGATCTGCATAATTTTTCCAAGAATGGTGAAACAGAATATATATTCAAGGTCCATAAAAGGCCCCCAGCTTTAACACCCCTCACCTAAATGCTGTGAAATAACTTTTATTATTTCTTATCAAAAATCCAGCTTCAACAACTGTGAACATTGATTACATGTGAACATATTGGTTATAGCTTTCAAAAAGTATATAATTTAAGCCTATGAAAATAGCAGCAACCCCTAAAATCAGGTGAGTGTTTAAGTTACTCAGAGCAGTTAATATTTCAACATGAAGCTAGTCAGTAACAATCACAGGCACTTTTCATCCTGTCAGGATGAAGTGTTGTCACCGATGCCATAAATAACTCACTGTCCTGTTTGACAAGCATGTTCTCCTAATCTCCTCACCACTCTGACAGACCCCAGTGACAGAAGGCAATAAAAACGGCTCCCATACTGGTCTCACTGGGAGCCTATGGCAGCTTCACCTTCAGCTCAGCTCGCGCTAACTGCTACACACCTTGAGCTCAAACACTCACCTCTTTATCACCGAGAGGACGCCATACCTTACACAAACTAACGCTTCTTTTAAACATAAAGTGTTTTCTAGTCAGAAAGAAGTCTAAACGTGCGTGTTTAAAGCGATAAATACAGCCTTTAGTTATCGGTTTGACGAAACACGTCTTACCTGTGTGTGAAGGTTGTCGTCCCCGGAAGTAGCTAACGCCTCGCTCGCTAGCTGGCAAAAAAAAAAAGCTCCCGGTGAAGAAGAATAGGTAGAAGTTAAAAGGTAAAAGTCTGCTTAGCTTTAGCGCCTCCGAGTTTTTTATTATCTTGTATATCTGCCAGTGAGCGACCCCAGTCCCCGGAGGAGATGAACCAACAGCCGACCGCCGCCTGGGCAACTTTCCCCGCTTGGAGTAAACAGGCTGAGCTCAGGAGGAGGAAGTCCGACCAGGTGCGAACGCCGCGTCATACAGCACACCTGCAGAGGCCTGTCACAATGGAAGACATTTTTAAACTAAAATACAAATAAAACTCACATTTTCTCATTTATAAATAATACTGACAATTATAAAGCTTAAACCAACCACATTTTTATTATAAATGTTCTTAAGAACCCAGAGATGGAAATCAATACAACTTTAAAGTTGTATTGATTTCCATTTAAATTTTATAATAGAAATTCGGTAGTTTTATAAATTTATCTAGTATCTTATAGTATCTTATGGCATCTTATAGCCTAGCATATATATATATATATATATATATATATATATATATATATATATATATATATATATATATATATATATATTTTATCCTGTCAACCTGTAAAGACTCAAGCAAAGTCTACCATGTACACAGTGTATGGCAATATACTATATATAGTATATTGTATGTTTTAGATTGTATAGAGGTATAGATTCTATATATATCGAATTTGTCTGCACAATCAACACCAAGTCAAGTTAGAGCAGAATAGAATAGAATAGAACAGAATAGAATAGAACAGAATAGAATAGAATGGACAGAATAGAACGGAACAGAATAGAATGAACCAGAGTAGAACGGAACAGAATAGAATAGAATTGAACAGAACAGAATAGAATAGAATAGAAAATTCCTTTATTGTCCGATAATGGGGATTTTCTGGTGGTTATAGCAGCAAAAAGAATTTAGAAGAAATGGTCACACAAATGTGGACATTAGAAGAGCGTATAAAACAACATAATAGTGAAGACTTAAAAAAATAAAAATAAACAAAAAAATTAAACTGTATAATTCCTTTTGAGTGCCAACCTACTTGGCAATAAATTTGATTCTGTGTTCACTGTTATATATATATATGATCATGCGGAAATGAATTACATTATAAATTCATTTAGGTATTAAGTTACATATAAAAACACATTTGTTTTTATTTGTATGGTAACACAGCCTTGAAGCAGGAGGGTCATGAGTTGAATCAAGGCCTGGGATCTTTCTGCATGTAGTCAGGATGCTCTCTCCATCCATGTGCTAGTGCTCTCCAGGTACTCTTGCTTCCTTCCACGGTCCACAAAAACAATGCTGTTGAGTCAGTTGATAACTCTGAATTGCCGTTAACTGCACTTACACAAAAACTAGACCACCGTACAGTCAAGCCTTGTGGTTGTACTTCAGTGAGATCTTGTGTCCGTTTCCTGGATGTTGGTTTTGTTAAATTAACCTCTATCTGGGGTTTTGCTTGGCTAAGGAATTTCCCGTTTTTAATTCTCATCCAGACCTTGGAGGATGTACTGATGTGTTTCAGGTGGTTGTCATCTTTCTGCTCAGTTCTGCTCCAGCTTAATATTTTTTTTACAGATGGTCTTTATTTTTCCAAAGTTTGCCAGGTCATGTTGTAGCTTAACATTTGCAAACAGTTCCAGCTCTTTTGTTCCCAATGGGTATGCGGTTATTTTCTTGGCATACTGTATATGTTTTAGGCCAAACATATCATCTGGTCTCCTGTCTAAATAATTAGCTTTTAGACTCATCTATCCAAAGAACATTATCACAGAAATAGTTTTTGCCCTAGAAAGCTTGCATCTCATCAGTAAGTTATACTACTGATATAAAATTTCTACGATTAAAGCCTTGCTTAAGTTTCTGTGAATACATTTTTCAGGTTTTTGAGACTTTATTTAGCACCTCATCAACTGGCGAGGTCTTGGAAATCCAGTCGCTTTGATCTGTTTTCCACATGTGCAGTTATTTCTGTACAGTTAAGAACCTGATCTAACATTCTTTTGGGACCTTTTTAGATCCTCTATTAGTGTCAGCGATGTGAAAATCCCCATTCATCTGGTTTCTGCATGTGCACTACCTTTTTCAACTTTGTTTTATATAAAGTATTTTCTCAGGCAGATTTATACCTGTCAGGTCAAATGAAATGACTAGGCCATTGTTTGTATCTCCCCTGGTGCATCCGAAGTGTTTACAAAACCTTGAAGATTCTAGACATGATACTTCCTTGAGAGGGAGTGTGACTCCCTCAGGTTCAGAGGGTTAGTTTTGGATATCCGCATCTGCTCAAAGAATGACTTTCTGTTAGGAAAAAATGCTGGTCTGAATTTTTTTTCCATTCTTGCTGCAACATGCAGTACAAGTAAAAAGATAGTTGACTCTTTTTCTAGTTTGGAACACCGCGGATCACATGAATGGGTGTTTGTTACACTGCTCTCATTTCTGTAGATATTGATAGTCTTGAGTAATTGATAATTAAACATATCTTCTTTAACTTTAAGCTACTTAGCTGTTTTTTCCCCCTTTTACAGACTTATAAGATGCTGAACACTACATTCTTTAGGTCCCTGATAGCTCTTTCAATATCAGCACGCTATTGTCTCTCTTTTTGGCAGTGAGGAAAAAGACAAAATTATATATCTGTCTGTGTGACGGAGAACACCTCCCTGTGCATACGTTGGTTCTCCATGTTCCTCCCACATGCCAAAAACCACAACATGACCATTACTCTAAATTTCCCTTAGGTCTGTGCATGTGCTTGGTTTTTATCTCTTTGCTTGGTTTTTACCCCCTTCC